CAATAAACTTAGAATTAAGCTGCCATATGACCCAACAGCTGAGGACCCCCAGCAGCTGAGAACCTCCGGAGCCAGCCACAGCCATGCTGGGACCACTCTCCACACGTCTGGACAGGTCTCATGCATGAAAGAACTGGCAGAGGAACCAGGCATGCGGGTCCCAGGGCTGAGGTCTCCAAGCCTACTCGGACTGGGACTGGGCCTTCTCCACCCAGACCCCCCATCTTCCAGTAGGCAGGTGTCACACCCACCAGCTGCCGCCAGCGCCAGGTTGGTCCCATCAACGGTCAAGATGAAGAGACTATATAACCCAGCTTCCGGAAGTGCGTGGCCGCATTCGCAGCCTCACGACATCTTATTATCTTATTTTTCCTTTAGAGAACCTGGCAGGCTACCAAAAGTATCCTGCTCGCACGGCAGAGTCTGCCAAACTTCCTGTGGTGTCCCCAATATGCCAAATACCAGTAACAATGATGGGTCTCATTCTCCTAATCCTGAAAGAGCATTGAAATGGCTCTTTTAAAATCTCAGGGCTAGGAAGAAGGAGACGTTACTGGTGCCTGCTCGAGGCAATCGACGAACAACAGGATGATCTTGATCGTGATCGATGCCCCAACAATTCCACTTTGGGTCATCTACCCCCAAGACAGAAAAAAAAAGTTTCATTTTAAAGAATAGATGAAAACCATTACTCAATGCAGCACTTAGAGCAAGAGCTAAGATATGGAATCAACATATGAATCCATCGACAGATGAACAGATTCCAGCAATGTGGTATATAAAACACAATGGGATACTAGGCAGCTGCAAGGAACCATGAAATCATGCAATTTGCTGAAACCTGGCCGGAACGGGATGATTTGCTAAGTCAAATAAGCCAGAAGAAGAAGGGCAAACGCAAGACGATCTGATTTATCTGTGGTAGACAGAATAACTGGACCAGGAAATGCAACACAGGGGTGATTCCTAGATCACCCTTGATCCCAGAGTGTAGAGAAGGAGGGAGAAAGAAGGAAAGAGTGATGAGGGAGAGGGGCAGAGCCCATATATCCAAAGCACAGTCTCAGCAATACTGAAAACAGGAGATCTAAACTACAGCCACGAAACTCGGAAATGTGCCGGTCAGGGAGGCAGGAGGGAGGGAGGGAGCATGGGCACACGGGTGGAGGGAGTAGACACTGGAGTGGGACTGGGGTTGGAGTACTGGACGCCTGACTCAACTACCAATCACTTTGCGAATCATGGTTGCTCAATTTAAATTTTTTTAAAATTTGATTTCCTCATTTAACACTGTCGCACTGTCCTCCCGTTGTTCATCGATTCGCTCGAGCGGGCCCAGGAATGTCTCCGTTGTGAGACTTTGCTGTGACTGTTTTTGGCATATCGAATACGCCACGGGGAGCTTGCCAGACTCTGTCGTGCGGGTGGGATACTCTCGGCAGCTTGCCGGGCTCTCCGAGAGGGGTGGAGGAATTGAACTCGGGTCTGCCAGGTCGGCCATGTACAAGGCAAACGCCCTACCCACTGTGCTGTCGCTCCAGCCCTTATTCATAGATTATACAACAACAACAACAAAAACCTGATATACTATGAAAATTTGGGCTCTTTTTGGTCATGTCAGAAATAACTGTACCCACAATTTTACCACTGAGTCACATCCCTGGCCAAATATAAACAGGACTGGTGTTTATTCGGCTTCCTGTAAAGTTCCAAGAATGTAAGCTCAAAGATATGCATACTGCCAATGGTGAAAGGTATGATGCTGGAAACTATTTTGGAAATAAACATCATCAAACAGGTAGACCATATGCAGTGGCCTTAAAAATCACACATAATAGATTTGGGGGATATTAGATGAAGGTCAATGAAATTCTGGATCAAACCTGATATAAAAAGTAAGGGAGATACTGGAGCGATAGTCCAGTGGGTAGGGCATTTGCCTTGCACACAGCCGACCCGGGTTCGATTCCCAGCATCCCACAGGGTCCACGAAGGACCGCCAGGAGTAATTCTGAATGCATGAGCCAGGAGTAACACCTATGCATTGCCCAGTGTGACCCAAAAAGAAAAAAGTAAAGGAAGTTAAAGTAGGAATATTTAGAATATTTTACTTTAAATTACTTATATTTTTATACTTATAATTTTCTCTCCCCCCCACCCCGAGCAGAACCCCAGCAGCTGAGGACCTCCGGAGCCAGCCACAGCCATGCTGGGACCACTCTCCACACGTCCGGACAGGCCTCATGCATGAAAGAACTGGCAGAGGAACCCAGGCATGCGGATCCCGGGACCGAGGTCTCCAAGCCTACTCAGATTGGGACTGGGCCTTCTCCATCTAGACCCTCCATCTTCCAGTAGGTAGGCGTCACACCCACCAGCTGCCACCAGCGCCAGGTTGGTCCCATCAACGGCCAAGATGCAGAGACTATAAAACCCAGCACCCGGACATCTTATTATCTTATTTTCTTTTGGAGAACCTGGCAGGCTACCAAAAGTATCCTGCCCGCATGGGAGAGTCTGGCAAACTTCCCGTGTCGTATTCAAGATGCCAAATACCAGTAACAATGATGGGTCTCATTCTCCTAATCCTGAAAGAGCACTGAAATGGCTCTTTTAAAATCTCAGGGCTGGTCTCTTGCAAAACACAGTACCCAAAAGAAGAGAGAGAGAACAAGGGGGAATACCCTGCCACAGAGGCAGGATGGGATGGGGGGGGGATGAGGGGGGGGGATGCTGGGACCCATGGGGATGGATGACGGGCACTGGTGGAGGGATGGGCACTTGATCATTGTATAACTGAAACCCAAGCACAAAATTTGTAAGCCTATAACTGTACCTCATGGTTTTTCACTAATAAAAAAAGAAAAAAAAATCTCAGGGCTGGGAAGAAGGAGACGTTACTGGTGCCTGCTTGAGGAAATCGATGAACAGGATGATTGTGATCGTACTTATAATTCATTTCATTCATTTATTCATCATCCTGTTATTCGTCGATTGCCTCGAGCAGGCCCCAGTAACGTCTCCTTCATCCTAGCCCTGAGATTATATTTAAGGCTCTTTAGGAGAATGAGACCCATCATTGTTACTGGTATTTGGCATATTGGGTATGCAATGGGGAGTTTGCCAGACTCTGCCCTGTGGGCAGGCTACATTCGATAGCCTGCAAGTTTGTCCAAAGTAGGAATGAGATAACTTATAATTGGAGCATCATATATTGGTGAGGTATCATCACCACTTGACTTTTATAAGTACTGAAGTACTAAATATCATAGTAACAACAAAGAAATTACGTCAGCTATGAGATCCATATGGCAGGACCTCAGAAAATTTTAGTGTCTCTGGCTTCTAAAACATCTGATATATTAAGTGCTGCTGTAAACAACATAAAATGACACTGTATGTGAATCTGCTCCTGACTATCCACTGTCTAATACTGGCTACTCAATAAAAAGCTAAATTCAATCATTCAAGACCTGATTATTAAAAAAAGAAAGTGGAGTTCATGCACAATTCAGTCAGCCTAATCAGTGGCTGAATAAATAGCAGTATTCCTACATTAAAAAAAAAAAAGACCTGATTAACTCACTAAGGATAGTTCTTGTCTGTCTCCATGTTACTGAAAGTCTGGTGTGCTTCATTGCTGATTAAACAGCTCTACTGGAAAGGCAGGCTAGAACAATGTACATTTGCCACCCTGCATATGGTATCTTACGTTTGAGCCTTTTGTCTCAAATATCATTGATAGTATGAGTCAACTACTGAAAATGACTTTAGAAGCTGGAGTGATAGCACAGTGGGTAGGGTGTTTGCCTTGCACGCAGCCGACCCGGGTTCAATTCCCAGCATCCCATAGGGTCCCCCGATATATTTATTTTGGAGTAATTCCTGAGTGCATGAGCCAGGAATAACCCCTGTGCATCGCCATGTGTGACCCAAAAAAAGCAAAAAAAAAAAAAAGACTTTAAAAATAACCCTGCGCTTCTGATATAACCTTGAGAAATTAATAATCTGATACCTTATCACCACCAATAGAGACAAATATTTTGCACTCAGAGCATATTTACTGGGGGGAATGGGGGGAAACTCAGCTGTTTTTTTTTAAGGGCTACAAATAAGGGAGAAAACAATTTCAAAATGAATCACAAAAACTACACAAAGATTAGAGAACTGGGGCTGGAGTGATAGCACAGTGGGTAGGGCATTTGCCTTACATGTCATCGACCCGGGTTCGATCCCCAGCATCCCATATTGTCCCCTGAGCACCTCTGGGAGTAATTCCTGAGTGCAGAGCCAGGAGTGACTCCTGTGCACTGCCAGGTGTGACCCAAAAAGCAAAAACAAAACAAAAAAACCCCCTAAAAATAAAAAAAAAAATAAAGAAAACTTTCTGGAAAGTTCTAACACTGCTATTTTCTCTTGTGTCAATGTTGAGGCTCTCATCATTTGGCAAAGTCATCAGAGTCTTTGCTACACAGCCCCAGAAAACTTTCTGTCCTTTTCTTGTAGACAACAGAGTCAAACAGGCAGCAACATCCCTCCTCACATGGACACCCAGAACATAGTCACCGGAAGTTACCTGTAGGACTGGAAACTGCAGACCTGGTGAAGCAGAGAATGGCACAGTGCACTCTGTAGCACTGTGGCACTGTTCTCCCAGTGTTCATTGATTTGCTCAAGCGGGCACCAGTAATGTCTCCATTGTAAGACTTGTTGTTACTGTTTTTGGCATACTGAATACTCCACGGGGAGCTTGCCAGGCTCTGCCGTGCGGGCGGGATACTCTCGGTAGCTTGCCAGGCTCTCCGAGAGGGGCGGAAGAATCGAACCCGGGTTGGCTGCATGCAAGGCAAACGCCCTACCTTCTGTGCTATCACTCCAGCCCGGCACAGTGCAAATAAGAAATAAAGACAGAGCAAAAAATTCTACAAATACTATGACAGGTTCCAAAAATACAGGTCTGTAAAATTCATTGGGGAAAAAAAAATGAGGTGGGGACCTACCTTGCATATCTTGTAGAGTGATTCCTGGCCATCTCCTCCAGTATCTTTAAAGTAATCGTGTGCAGGAAACGTACGATGAATATCTCTCGTAATGACACTCTCCTGGGCCGAGTCCTAAAAGAGAACCAAACAAGACCTGGCCATTAACATACAGTCTCTCTTTACTATTAAAAAAATAGACAGGTCAGGAATGTGCCTTGGCAACAGAGCACGTGTCTTGCATTTGTAAGGCCCCGGATCCACCCTTGAGAACGCAAACATGGAAAACAAATAATTGAAAATAACTCAAACGGCATCAAGTATAGCTCCTCCTCTCCAATTCCCAACTCCCGAGAGAATGCTACCCTGTTTCTCTGGCATTCTTCCAGGCACCTGGCTAGAGAGGCAGGCATCTGCACTGGAAGCAGGGAAGAGGGACAGAAGTTGTAGACGCATGGCTCTGCTCTCTGCTTTTTGAAGCACCAACAGAGCAAATTATCTGCTCCTTTCACTTGAGGGAGTAAACTTACAGGATGTTCCTTATCAATGCATTTCCCAGAGCAGCTCTTAAAATCGCAAGGTGCATCCACACATGGGTTTACTGGAGGTGTCATTTTTTTTTTTTATTTTTCAGGAAGAATCAGATCGGAGGCGTCAAATTATTACTTCTCATCTTTTCCATATCCTGGTTACTGTATTAAGTGCTGCGGGGCAACACAGGTGAGGCACACATTTGGCTGTGGTACCTAGGACCCCTGGAAGGGCCACCAGGGTGATGCTTAAGTGTGGTACCAAAGTCTCCTTGCACCCCGGCCCACATGGAAGGAATGTTTTTATGCCAACATACTCAAAGATAGATTTCTAGAGGTAGAATTACTGGGTCAAAACACTTATGCATTTCCATTTTTTATAAAAAGTACCCCTACTCCAGAGTTGTACTAATACATAATCTAACCAATGGGAAAATTCGTGTTTCTCTCCACCACCTACCCAATACTACAAATTATGTAAGTTAGACCACAGTAAACTATTTTTAAAAAGCAAAAACAGTTTCGATCTTCCTCCACTGCTAGATTAATCACCTCACTCCAGAAAATAAAAATTTCCAAATTACTGTATGAGATTGACATATACTTTAAAGATCAATCTAGGGATTTTTTCCCCTTCAAATTCAGAATCCAAAAGCTCCAAAATGAGTCAAATTCTAAATCTTATTAAAAATGATTAGTCATCACTTGGTTTTTATTTTATTCCTATAAATGTTGTTTATTTATAGGAATAAAACGCTGTTTGTTTTATCTATTTAGATATCAATAGAGTGGAATTACTTTTAGCAATCCAGGTGGAAGCAGCTTTTGTATAATTAAAAGAAGCATTAAAGACTAAAGTATTGTTTAATGTCGTCTTCATGAAATTTTTGTAACCAAGTCGGTCTGTCATGGCAGAGCCTGGCAAGCTCCTCGTGACGTCTTCGATATGCCAAACACAGTAACAACAAAGTCTCCAATGGAGACATTACTGGGCCTGCTCGAGCTAAATCAAAGAAGGATAAAAAAAGGTTTTACTGCGTGAGTTAGGTCAATGATCTCTAGTTTCCTTCTCTCCAGCTAAGGAATAGAAAGGGAACTAAGTAGCTGATTAGCGCCTTCTCTCACAGCCACTTCCATTTTAGTTACTATTATTTCATGCTGGGTGGTAATTAAATCCGATGTTATGGAGAGGAACAACCAAACTGAGACGTTCCAAATCTGCAAGCAAACACCAAATATGTTACAAACTGGTCTGTGGCAACTGATGGATTGTGGGAATGGAATGCCAAAGCTGAATAAAAACCGGGCTTTAAAAAGAGTATAGAGGGGCTGGAGTAATAGCACAGAGGGGAGGGTGTTTGCCTTGCACGCGGCCAACCTGGTTTCGATTCCCAGCATCCCATATGGTTCCCTGAGCATCACCAGGAGTGACTCCTGAGTGCAGAACCAGGAGTAACCGCTGAGCATCACCGGGTGTGACCCAAAAAGCAAAAATAAATAAATAAAAAGGGTATAGAGTCCATTCCTGAATGGCCATGATCTCAGAGGCACACAAACCAATCTGGAAACCTGGCAGCTTCTGGCAGAAATCCCTCTGGACTTAATTACTAAAATACCAGAAATCCAAGATCATATGGGGGCTGCTGTGGCTGCGTGACATCATATGCTCTTCATTATCAGCAACAGAAAACAAATCATCTAATGATGCCTTTTCGGCAGGTCTGATAGTTGGGGGGAAATCCCAAATAATAATAGTGGGTCTTCAGTCGAAAAATTGAATCTAGTCAAAGTAAAGAGAGAGTAAAGTCAAAATCATCTGCCACATAGGTGGGGATGAGATGGGATGGGGGAGGGGAATACTGGGGTTCTTGTTGGTGGAACATGTGCACTGGTGAAGGGATGGGTGTTGGATCATTGTATGACTGAGACTTAAACCTGAAAGCCTTGTAACTGTTCTCATGGTGATTCAATAAAAAATTTAAAAAATTTAAAAAACATAGTATAAAGAGGGCATTCATATAAAGGAAAATGCAGGTTCCTTTTTTTTTTCTTTTTGGGTCACACCCAGTGATGCACAGGGGTTACTGCTGGCTCTGCACTCAGGAATTACTCCTGGTGGTACTCAGAGGACCATATGGGATGCTGGGAATTGAACCCAGGTCGACTGCGTGCAAGGCAAATGCCCCACCCACTGTGCTATGGCTCCAGCTCCAAATTCAGGTTCTCAGAACACTGAAACTTGAGGCATGGTGAAGAAAGTCAACATAAGGTAATGCATGAAGCGGTATTATAAAATCTTTTTTTTCCCCTTTTGGGTCATACCCAGTGATGCACAGGGGTTACTTCTGGTTCATGCACTCAGGAATCACTCCTGGCGGTGCTCGGGGGACCAAATGGGATGCTGGGAATTGAACCCGTCTTGGCCACATGCAAGGCAAACACCCTCCCCGCTGTGCTATCGCTCCAGCCCCGGTATTATGAAATCTTACCTGACCTGGCATGGAACCTAGCTATGAGAATCTGGGCCCAGGCAGAAGCAAGTTTTTCACAGCTCAGGATTTCCCCAATAAATAAGGGTTCTCTTCCTAAACAATAAATTTCTACTTTCAAATGATTAGAAAATATTATGCGTGAGCATATTACTAATGCCACTCCTGAACTCTTTCAGGGCAAACAAATGCAGAGTGGATCACAGGATCGGTCTTTTTGCACTTTGTATGCTAAAAGAGAGAAATCGTTGGACTCCATCCCTAGAAACCGCCTACTCATTTGGCACAGCTCTGTGTTTAAATGATACAGTCTGATTCTGAGAAGGGGAAATTGATAGAAAATTACTAGAAAGCAAATCTGCATGATACTGGATCTTATGTCATTTTTTAAGGGCAAAATACAAAAAGCCACAAACATTTCCTTAGCAGATTTTCCTTTATATGATTTTTATGTACTCATGCTTTTTTCTCCTTGATTATAAAAACTCCTCAACACTGGCTTATAACATTATATGAATTTATAGTATCTATGTAAAGGCCCTCCCGTTGATCGTCGATTTGCTCGAGCGGGCCCAGTAACGTCTCCATTGGAGACTTTGTTGTTACTGTGTCTGGCATATCGAATACTTAACACCTTTATTTGATACATTATTACTACTGAAAGTTCAGTTTCCATATACCATAATCCATATATTTGATTATCTAGAGTGCTCTCAGTTGACAAGAGAACAATCTTGGGAACTCCGATCTATTTATAAACTAAAAGTATCTTGCTACAGCCTTTACTGATATCTTTCAATAGAAAAGATTGTCAAGAGGTGGATACCCTAGATTCTTTTTTTTTTTTTATTGAATCACTGTGGGAAAAGTTACAAAGCTTTCAGGTTTAAGTCTCGGTCATGCAATGATCAAACAACTTTCCCTTCACCAGTACTTATTTTTCACCACCTAGAACCCCAATATACCCCCCTCCCACCCCTCCCAGTGCCTATGAGGCAGACGAATTCTACTTAACTATCTACTTTGATTACATTCATTATTTCGACAAAAGATGCACCATTATTGTTTAGCGTTTACACCCAACAATCAGAACTGCTGAAAAGGCATTGTGAAATAATTTGTTTTCTACAGCTGGTTATGAGAACCATATGATTTTGGATTTCTGATATTTTGCTTATTAAGTGGTACCCTAGATTCTTAAAAACAGAATATTAAAATTGTGAATAGACAAAACATTGTGTTTTCTAAACCGAAGCTGGTATTAACCACCTCCCAATTACTCAAACTCTTGATAAGAGAACTGAATATATGTTAGGAATCCATAACCAATACTCCAAATTCTTTTGGGGGCGGGGAGGGGGTTGGAGCCACACCAGGTATTGCTCAGTGCTAACTCCTGGCTCTGCACTCAAGAATCACTCCTGGCAGTGCTCAGGGACAATCCGGGATACTGAGGATCAAACACGGGTGGGCCTCGTGCAAGGCAACTGCCTTACTAGTACACTGTATTATCTCTCCAGTCCTCCAAATTTTCTCTATCTCTTGCTGATCCAACAAATCTTTGAAATAGAGGGCCACCAAACCTAACGGCTTGTGTAAAGATAACTTTTCTCTTCAATATTAATTCTTTTATCTTCAGACATTCCAATTATAGCTGTCAACTTTAATAAGAAATAAAATTAACAAAGAACAAGAAAGAGACGAAATAACCAACCATCTACCTATTCTTCTATAGTTACAAGATTTCACAGGAATAAATTTTTCAGCTTTAAATAATTTCCAGGACTAGGGATGGGTACTCAATCATTGTATAATTGAAACCCAAGCACAAAAATTTGTAAGTCTACAACTGTACCTCATGGTGTTTCACTAATAAAAATTAAAAAAATAATTCTAGGACTTACAGAAACAGACATAACTTTTTTTTTCTTTTTGGGTCACACCTGACAATGCTCAGGGTTACTCCTGGCTCTACACTCAGGAATTACTCCTGGTGGTGCTCAGGGGACCCTATGGGATGCTGGGAATCGAACCCGGTCAGCCGCATGCAAGGCAAACACCCTACCCTCTGTGCTATCACTCCAGCCCCCAGATATAACTTTTTAACATAGTAAAA